GTGAGAGGGAGGAAGAGAAGGTGACTGGGGATTGGTCTGACCAAGAGACTCTGCACTTAATCTCGATCCTTGTTTGGGGAGGGGGTGTCCTTGCTACAAATTCAGCACAAAATTCCAGAGTGAGCTTCTCAAGTCTCCAAGTTCCTTTGCTGAGGAAAAAAAAAATATTAGAAGCCCGAGTTGGATTTTAGCCTCAAGACCGCAAAACTTTCCCATCCTATGTCCGTCTCCCCTAAGTACTTTGCTTTTCTTAGTAATAATTGTGTAAAAATCCCTCATTTGAAGACAATGTGGTTTTAGCAAAGCCATGATCAAAGCAACTTGATTTGGGGCGGGGGGAAAGACTGCATCATAACGTGGTGTACTTCTATGACAGTTGAGGGAAAAACCAAGATAGGAAATGGGTAGTCGCACGTCTGTCTGGTGCAGTCGGACAGTGGAGACTTGAATGAGGCTATCCATTCCAAAGATTTTCACAAACTCCGAAGATACTTGCCATGAAATAAAGGCATTGCTTGAAAACCGGGTTTGGTTAAGCATAGAAGAGAATTAACATCTCCTTTTATCGTTTGTTGTCTCTTCCTATTAATAATTAATAGGCAGTCATATTTCCTTTTGCAAGCCAGCTCTGTATGGGAACTGTGAGCCACCACTACACTTGTCTGCCTCTTCTTGCTCGAATCCACGAGTTTTATTTTTATTTTCATTACACACGCGCCTACACACACACACACACACACACACACACACACACACACACACACTTCCCAATGCCCAGGAGAGAGATAGGTTACTTCAAGTTTGGTGGGAACAGTGACAGAGGGGTCAAGGTCATCTCAATTTGTTTTGTGCTTCTCACCTCATATTGTGGTATTCCTTTATTTTTTACATTATTGATATCTGTAAAGGATCTTGTTTTGCATCTTTGTGAAATTATTTAAACAAACAAACAAACAAACAAACAAAGCAGTCAGCACCTTTCAGACACTCCTTATTGAAACTCTCTGGTCATCTGTCCTTCTTTGAATTCTGAGTAATTTAGAAGCTTACCACCCCCCCCCATCTTTACCTGAAGGGTTTTACCATTTCAAAACATTTGAAAAAGATGCAAATTCTTGTTTAATAAATCCGAGTTGTCCTTGGCATGTACACGTGCCTAGAGTTGCCACAAACACTGCTGTGTATCAATGTTAGAGGCAGCACTCACACAGATATAAATGGGTGTCTCACCCCCCCCACCCCTTGCACTTGTCCTTCCCCCTCCCTTCTGTTTACTGAGCTTCACAGAGGTTGCTCTGCAGCAATAGGACTCACATAGCAACTTGTGCCCAGAGCACTCTGGGGCTGGTCTACATGGCGTCAGCTGGGGAATAGCTGCTCAAAGCACTCATTAGCAGACTTCTCTCACCCAGCACCCTTCCTTTCTTCTGCTATTTCCTGTCTTTAGTTAGAAACTTACTTTTTCACTGAGAGTCAATAACCTTCTTATGGGACATCATGATTTTCATTTATTCTTTATGTCCTCTATTGGAGATGTTTCATATATATACATAATGTATGTATGTATATATCTCCCATTTCTCCCTGCATATCCCTCCCTCTCTCCTCCTCTTTCTCCTTTAATATCTACCTAAGATTGAAGCTCTGAACTATTTTTTCCATTGCTTAGGCTTAATTTTGGATCTGCCTATAAATAGCCTTAACATGAACAGCAGCACATGTAGCCTCTCAATTTCCCAGAAATACTTTCAACCTCATTGGTCGTGGCTTGGGTGAAATGATTATTCATGTCCATGGAGTATAGATGTGGATCCTTAAATATTTGAGCTTTCATGGGGTGGGAGGCTTCTATATTATTCACCGAATCCAGTATTGGCTCTCTACACAGCCTTCAGGGAGGCAAGAACATTTGAATATATTACTAGTTAGCTGTTTCTCAGAACTTTTTTTTTTTTGCGGTAATATTGCATGGAAGTCTTTTTTCATGAAAGTTTTTCCATGATGTTTTGGTGATTCCCGCTGAGGGAGAAGAGGGTAAGGGAACTTTCTGCTTGTTTGAAGTCACTGGGACATGTGGATCTGTCAACAGCAAAGACAAGTGAACTATAAAGACAGTTAACCTGCAAGACTGTAGCAGGTTCTGGAGTTTTGCAATTGCAAGCAGCTCCATAAAAGTCCAGGGACATACGACGTGTGTGTGTGTGTGTGTGTGTGTGTGTGCACATATGCACACAGTACTCTGTTTGGGGCATATGTGTTGGACATAGTGAAATTTTCCATTTCGGGGAAAGAAAAGCCAGTTATTTTTCCCTTTCCAGGAAGCACTAGTGAGACCTGAACATGATGCTGTAGCATGTGGAACACATTCTGCATTAGCAAAGGAAAGGAGACAGGAACAGCCCCCCTCAGCACACGCTATTCGAAAGGTTCCAAGTGGGGAAAGATATTCATAGGAAGGAGCTATTGTGTGATTGGTGGAATTCAAACAGATGTCCTAGGGTTGAGATTTTGGAAAGTCCTAATTGGGCCTGTAGAGGTCATAGAGTTGTAAGGTTCTTGTGTGGAAAGGGGTAGAAGTCAATTTGAAGAAATCTGAGAGAGTCAGTGCACAGCCCCTAATGTTAATGCAGGGAAAGGCTTCTTTTGAAGAGTGCAAAGGGAATTTATTGATGCTAGTTTATAGTAAAATATTTTAAAGTCCATCGTAGCTCAGATACTTTCTTTGAAGGGACTCCTTTGTCCCATTCCCATGTTTTAAAGAAAAGCACACCTGCATTTGCTGCTGTCTCCATGTTCATGAAACATTTGGCAACATTACGTAAGCCAAATCATCTGAAAATGCTGTTAAAATATTTCTTTCCAAGTCCACGATGATCTAGCCCTTGGAGGACTATGATTCTTTCTTCCTTTGTCACAATGCACTGTTCATGGAAAAGCAGGCAAAATGGTGAAGCTGGTAGAAGGTTGGGAAGACACCGGATCTTCTTTTTATAAAGCAATTCAAAGGCATTTTCAAATCAAGCATCATTTAGGTGTCAAAAGCTGACAAAATGTAACACACATTGAAATTTTCACAGGTGTGACTAATCTCAAAAAAAAATAAGGTGGGGTACATCTTGATTATAACTTGAACATGGTGGGAGAAGACAGAAGACTATTACACAGCACTTCCAAAGACAATGCACACTGCCCCTTGGTAATGGACTGAATAAGGACAAATGGATCACTTTCTATATCTGCAGCTGGCTTGGCTGAAACTGGTCCTGTTGACTGATCCATAGTTATGTTCCCTTGGGAGGGGGTGGGATCAAAACTGGAATCCTCTTACAAAGGTCTCAACCAATTCTTGATATTTTTATTGTGCCACTTAAATACAGGATGTGGATTTGGTGGTTTGAAAAGTTGGGAGTCATCCTCAGTTTTTAGTTTTAGGCCTTGTTAATATTAATCTACTCCTGGATTTTATTAATGCACATTACATAACAAAAACACCTTGGACAATTTCTTAGGCATCCTTTCCTCCTTTCCCTCCTCCTCTTCCTCCACCGCCACCATCTCCTCCTCCTCCTCCTCCTCCTCCTCCTCCTCCTCCTCCTCCTCTTCCTCCTCCTCCTCCTCCTTCTCTCTCTCTCTCTCTCTCTCTCTCTCTCTCTCTCTCTCTCTCTCT